CTCCATTATTCATGATGTGTGTGAGAAACAACAGCCTGCAGTGAAGAACAGAAAAGCGGAGCAGCTCCTGCACTCACTGTACAGTCACTTACAAACTTTCATTACTCTCGAGATTATACACACACATTCTTCAGTGAGTTTGTTTTCACAGTCAGTCCAGAACACACACACACACACACACACACACACACACACCTGGAGCTGTTTTAGGGTTTAATAATCCTTTTTAAAAAGCTAACTGTCAGAGAACATCTTCTTCTTCTTCTTCTTCATCTTCTTCTTCTTCTTCTTCTTCTTCTGCTGCTGCACTGGGAGGAATGTGTTTAGCCAATGTTTAGTTTGCTGCGAGTGAAAGATGTAAGGGGGAGCTAAGAAATAAAGCCCCGCCTCCTGTTCAATTGTGTATTAGTTGGAAAATATGACGTCAAGCAGAAGTAAAATCCATACAACTTCATAGAAGTGTTAATGGTTTTGTTGTTGTGTGTTTTTGTTTGTTTGTTTTCTTTTCTTATTTATGTTTTGTTTTTTGTTGTTTTATTGATATTTTTTTGTTTGGTTTCTTTTTGTGTTGTTTTTTTAGTTACTTAAGTTTTGTTTGTTTTGTTTTGCTTTTGTGTTGTGATCTTTGGTTTGGTTGTTTTTTATTTTATTAGGTTTTGTTTGTTTTGCATATTTTTGTTTGTTTTTTGTTTTGTATAGTGTTTTTTTTTTTGATTGGTTGTTTTTTGTGTTGTTCTTTATTTTGTTAAGTTTAGTTTGTTTGGTTTGTGTATTTTTTGTTTTTCCATTTTGTTTTTGTTTTGTTTTGTGTTATTTTTTTCAGTTTGGTTGTTTTTGTGTAGTTTGGTTAATTTATTAAATTTCGTTTGTTTTGCATATTTTTGTTCGTTTTGTTTTGTGTTTTTGTGTTTTGTTTTGCATACTTTTGTTTGTTTTGTTTTTGTTTTGTTTTTTTCCATTTTGTTTGTTTTGTTTTGCATAGTTTTTTTTTTGCTTTTTTGTTTGTTTTACATATTTTTGTTGGTTTTGTTTTGTGTTTTGTTTTGTGCTGTTTTTTTCCATTTTGTTAGTTTTGTTTTGCGTTGCTTTTTGTTTGGTTGTTTTTTGTATTGTTTTTTATTTCATGAAGTTTTGTTTGTTTTGAGTTTTTTTGTGTTTTGTGTTTTTTTCCATTTTGTTTGTTTTGAATTGTTTTTTTGTTTTTTGTTTTTTGGTTGTTTTTTTGTGCTGTTTTTTAATTTTATTAAGTTTTATTTGTTTTGTTTTACATAGTTTTGTTTGATTTGTGTTATTTTGTTTTTGTGTTGTTTTTTCCATTTTGTTTGTTTTCTTTTTTTACTGTTTTGTTTGTTGTGTTGTGTTTTTTTCATTTCGTTTGTTTTGTGTTTTTTTAAAGTTTTGTTTGTTTTTTGTTGTTTTTGTTTTGTTTTTCTGTTGTTTTTTTTAGTTTTTTGTTGGTTTTATTTCCATTTTGTTTATTGTTTTTGTTCGCTTTTTTCTTTAGTTTTTTTTTCCATTTTGTTTGTTTCATGCTGTGTTTTGTTTGTTTTTTGTGTTGTTTTTTATTTTATTAAATTTTGTTAGCTTTGTTTTGCATAGTTTTGTTTACTGTTTTTGTGTTATGTTATTTAGTTGTTGTTTTTTTGCGTATTTTATTTTGCATTGTTTTGTTTTGTGTGTTTTTTTTTTTTTTTTTTTACGTTGTTTTGTTTGGTTTTGATTTTTATTTTAGGGTCTGGTCGACTCTTTCATTCTGAGTTTCTTTAAAGCAGTGATATTGAGAGTGTTGGCTTGTGCTGTTGGATGTGCCAACACTGGATATTGTTGGTTTGTGTATGAGCGTCACATCTGTCTGTATGATGAAGCTGTCCATCATCAGTGGGGAGTTTGATTGACAGCTCTCAGCTCATCGGTCCTTGTTAATCATCTCTTAATCAGAGCAGCAGATTGATGGAGACACACACACACACACACACACACACACACACACACACACACACAGAGGTTACTCTCACATACAGCAGGAGATGGTGTTGATCCGGTCTGCATCATCAGTGTGTTCAGGAGCGTGTGACTGGCTCTTGCTTACTCAGATGCAGAACTCTGCTTTAACTCCTTCACTAATGTAGACCTTTCTCTTTCTCTCTCTCTCTCTCTCTCTTTGTGTGTGTGTAGCTCCGTCTCAGATCAGCGAGCTGCGGGTGGAGAAGGTGGAGCAGCGCAGTGTGACTCTGGTATGGAGGGAACCCGTGGTGTTTCCCAACAGCAGCCGCACAGAATACGAGATCAAATACTACGAGAAGGTACACTCACGTCCTCATCCTCTGCACTGAAATGTGTGTGTGTGTGTTTGTGTAGTCACACTGACACACACAGCCTGGAGCTCAGAGATCATTCAGTGTGTAAAACACGTCACGTCTGCTCAAACCCATTTCTCACAGACACACTGCAGTCAGATGAGCTCAGAACAAACACACACACGGCCTGACAGTCACTGCATCTTTTAAATCAATCAATCAATCAATCAATCAATCAATCAATCAATCAATCAATCAATTAGTAAATCAATCAATCAGTCTGTCAATCATTCAATCAATCAATCAATCAAATAATTGGTAAGTCAGTCATTCAATCAATCAACAAGTCAAACAGACAATAAAACAACCAGTCAAATGATTAGTCAACCAAACAATCAATCAATCAATCAATTAACCAGACAATCAATCATTAAATCAGCAAGTCAATCAGAAAATAAAACAACCAGTCAGTCAACTAGTAAATCAGACAATCAATCAAAAATCAACCAGTAATCAGACAATCAATAAATCAAGTCAATTATACAATCAATCAGTCAATAAATCAATAAGTCAATCAGACAATAAAATAAACAGTCAAACAATTAACAAGTTAATTAATCAATCAATTAATAAGACAATCAATCAATCAATAAATCAAACAAACAATGAAACAATCAATCAATCAGATTCATTCCGCTTAGTCCCTTTATTCATCAGGGGTCGCCACCGCGGAATGAACTGTCAACTATTCCAGCATATGTTTTACACAGCGGAAGCCCTTCTAGCTGTAACCCAGTACTGGGAAAACACTCATTCACACTCATACACTATGGCCTGTTTACTTGATCAATTCCCCTATAGCGCATGTGTTTGAACTGAAACCGGAGCACCCGGAGGAAACCCACACCAACACGGGGAGAACATGCAAACTCCACACCAACACCAACTGACCCAGCCGAGACTCAAACCAGAGACAGTCTTGCTGTGAGGCCACAGTGCTACCCACTGAGCTAAATGAGTCCAGCAAGGGGTCTGACAGTCGTGTTTGCTTGTTTTCCCGCAGGACCAGAAGGATCAGAGTTACTCCACGGTGAAGACGGCCTCCACCAGGATCAGTGTGAATAACCTGAAGCCCAGCACCACCTATGTGTTCCTGATCCGCACCTGCTCCAGTCCGGCTCCGTCTGCTCTGTCCTCCTCTCCGCTGTCTTCATCATCATCATCATCGTCCTCATCGTCTTCAGCATCTCCAGCTTCTCCATCCTCCTCCTCCAGTCCGCCAGTTTCTCCTCCACCGCTGGATTATGGAGCTTTCAGTGCACCGCTGGAGCTGCAGACGCTTGGGGAACGTGAGTGTGTGTGTGTGTGTGTGTTAATGTGTTTGTGAGTGACCGTGTGTAAGTGTGTGGTTGAATGTGTGTGTGTGTGCATGTCGCTTGCTGTCTTGACTAATAGAGGAGCACACGTCCATAATGAATGAGCACAGCCCACTGCCACTCCTCTATCAGCTCTGCTGCTGTGTGTGTGCGCGCGCCTGTACATGCATGCATGCTTGTCTATGTGCATTTGTGTGTGCATGAGTGTTTGTGTGTGCATATGTGTGTTTGTGTGTGTATATGTGTGATAGTGTGGGCATGTGTTTGTATGTGTGTGTCCTTGTCTATGCGTACTTGTACATGTATGTGTGTGCGCGAGTGCATGTGTGTGTGCCCTTGTGGGTCCTTGCTTGTGTATGTGTGCCTGTACATGCATGTGTGTTTGTGTGTATGCATGCATGTGTTTGTCTGCCTGCACGTGCGTGTGTGTACTGTATGTGTATGTGTGCTTGTGTGTGCATTTGTGTGTGTGTGCGCTTGTCTGTCTGTGTGTGTGTGTGTGTGGGTGTGTGTTTGCATGCACATGTATGCAAGTGTGTTTGTGTGCTTGTGTGTGCATGTGCGTGTGTGTGCATGGTTGTGTATGTGTGTATGCATGCATGCATGCATGTGTGTGTGTGTCTGTATTTGTGCTTGTGCATGCATGTGTGTTTGTGTGCTTTGTGTGTGTGCTTGTGCTTGCTTGTGTGTCTGTGTGCATGTGTGTGTTTGTGTGTGTTTCTCTTTGTGTGTGTGTGTGTGTGTGTGTGTGCGCACACAGTAGTGCTTTCATGTGTTTGTGAAACTAATTACCTTGTGTGTGTGTGATTGTGTGTGTGTGTATGTGTGTGTGATTGTGTGTGTGTGTGTGTGTGCGTGCGTGCGTGCGTGCGTGCGTGCGCGTGCGTGTGTGTGTGCGTGCAGTGGCTCTGGCCTCCAGTGAACAGTCTCCAGTGGTGATCATCATCGTGGTGTCTCTGGCCGCTCTCATCATGCTGCTCACACTCGGGGTGGGACTGCTCATCTGGAGAAGGTAAAACACACACTCTCTGCACAAACACACACTCTTCATCTGACAGATCAGACATCATCCGTGTTTTACTGGGGATGAACACACAGAAAAGTGGGAGAAACCAAAAGAGGGAAGTGTGTTTGAAGAGGGATTTTTCCAGGAGTGTTTACATATCTCTGAGCTGCCATTGGTCGTTGCCGGTGGTGTAATTAATGGGTGTGGCTCTATAGCTCAATAGGTGTGGCTCTAAAGCTCAATAGGTGTGGCTCTGAAGCTCAATTGGTGTGGCTCTGAAGCTCAATGGGTGTGGCTCCAGAACTGTTGTCAGGTTTTGAT